ATGAAACCAAGATTGAACTGTTTGGCCTCAATTCTAAACATTATGTCTGGAGGAAAGCAGGCACCGCTCATCACCTGCCCAATACCATTCGAACAGTGAAGGATGGTGGTGACACCAACTTGATGGCACTTAATCATTCAATAATGCAGTGTATGGGCAGGTGGAACCAAGGATGTTTTGCAAGGATAGAGAGGTATGGAAGTATACAGTGAATGGTGTTGGTATAAATTAGTTTTAACTATGTTTTGCATTCTTTTTATTTCATGCATTTAATTTCTTTGGCTTATATTTCTTACTTTTTCTGTGCTGTAATTAATATTTCCTTTCCTGAAATAGAACAGCATGATGAGTATTTATGTATCTATGGCTCTAAACCTGATCCTTATTTATAAACATTTAACATATTTTTTTCTAGTAATACACATTGATGATAATGTGTCAATCAAGTCTGTGTGACTCTTAGTGACCACATAGATTTTTTCCCAGAATGATCTGTCCTCAACCTGGTCCTTCAGGTCTTTTAGTAAGGACAGGACATTATTTATCCATATTTTGAGTCAGTGTTAACTTCTGGCAACTGCCTGGACTAGTCTCTGTAGTTTTCTTGGAAAGATTTTTGGAAGTAGTTTGCCATTGTCTCCTTCCTATGGCTGAGAGAGAGTGACTGGTCATTCAGTTGGCTTTGTGCCTAAGGCAGCACTAGAACGAACTCCTGGTCTCCTTGTTTCTAGCTTGGCACCTTTAACCACTAAACCAAAATTGCTCTCACTTATTGTTATATACCATGTAAGACAACATATAACATACCTTTTGTGATGGACGATAACATGAATCAATTCCTCTAGACAAAGATTCATCAAGAAGTGCTTTTAATTTTTCGGCAGAATCTTTGCTCTTTGAATGCAAGAAGCCCAGAGCTTTCAAGAACACAGGATCAAGTTCCAAATTCACAGTAGCAGCCATAGTAGGATCTTTAATTGAAAAGAAAAGGTCAATTTCAAGCAGGCATGAACTCATCTGTTAGATAATTCCTAACTAGTTCCTAATTTCCACACATTTTTAACAGGGTTTGGAAACAATTACAGTGGTGAAATCATCTTTTTTTTCTTTTCTTTGAAAAAAAGCAAGATTCTTCCTGTGTCTTCACCAGATCACTGCCACAATTCAAGGCTTTGGAATCTAGAAAAATGTTTGTAGCTCCTGACTTCAAGGTGGTTCTCTCTCCTGAGTTAGAATACAAACTCTGAAACTCCTGAGCCACAGCTGTAATATAATTACATTGAACTAAATTAAAGCAGATATACATCTGCCCTCTGGAATAAGGTTCCCCCCAAGATCCAAATGACCCACACTCTGTTGTTGTTTAGAAGAACAGTGAAGACCTCACTCAGGCCTCTGGCAAGGGAGAATGAGACCCCTTGCTTCATTCCGTCTGGTCTGTCACACTTGCCATCTTTTAACTTTTATTGATTTTATTGTAATTTCTTTGATTGAGCCACCCAGTCATTGGGAGTTGGGCGGCATACAAGTTTAATAAATAATAATAATTTACAATTTGATTTTGAACATTTTATGAGGCAGGCTTAATATAGCACAGATTACTGTACTTTTAACTGCTTAAACATAAAACGCAAGCAATTATTTCTTCAATTCAGATATAATTCCTGATTTTATCAATTTGAGAAACCCAATGTTGATTTCAGAACCTAGGATACCCTCAGGAAAGGTTCATCAGTAGTTGGCAACTAGCAGAGGGATTAATTCATTCATCAACGTGCATGTAATACATGGTCCTGCAATATAGAAAATACATGTTCAATGCATTTTACTTGACATCTGGTCTTGGGGTGGTGATAAAGCTGCCACAGAACCTGAACACTTATTAAGTTTTTTAAAAGTCTTAATAGAGAATGGCTGAAATATTATGACAGTTCCCTCTTGAGCTGTTCCAAGCTCTGAAAGGTGAGATTGCTGATGACCTGTCAAATGTTATAATCTCATGCAACTGCAGCCACTTTATATATTTGTACATTTTGCTGATCTCACCATCCCATAAGATTTCATAATGAGACCTCCTGCCTGGGAAAATTTTTTCCTCCTTGTATTTTGGAAGCAGAGCTGGGTCCGCTCCTTGTGCCAAGCCAGAAATCCTGACTGATGAGACACGGGCTGGACTGGCAGAAGATGCTACACAAACCACCTATCGACCACGGTTCTCCTGCCTCAGGAGGAGGGTGGGTGAAATAATCTTTGGTTTTATCTCCCAACGCTTACAATTCTATAGAGAAGTGACATTTTCCCCAAGAACACTGTTTCCCCGCCTTTGCTGCCAAGTTTATTACCCATCATAGATACAATAATGATAAACAATCATCTTTATTCAGAATAGC